CAAACATTCCCATAGACACCCTCCTAAACCTTGTAGACAGCCTTCCCAGAAGAGTTGAAGCTGTTATAGCTGCAAAGGGTGAGCCAACTCAATATTGAACCCTATGGACTAAGACTGGGATGCCATTAAAGATCATGTGCGTTGAAAAGCAGGCCGACCAATACTTTTGGCAATCTAGTGTATATGTATTAAAGCAGCATTAAACCCAAAAGCAAACATTTATTATATTGCAGTTTACCAATTATTCAATGTAATGGCTGCATTGGTTTCCTTCTTTAGGCTTTCACTCTTCTATTTTCATCTGGTGATCAAGCCAGCAAGTCTGTTGTTTTTCACAAGTTCAAGTTCTCCAGTAGAATGTATCAGTTTACTTGGATGCGACAAACCACTTAACACTGGCAGAGGTGGTTACATTGATCAGCTTTTATTTATTCATGTAAAACCTTTATCCCAAAAGGAAAAAAAACCTGCTGTAACAGATTATAAAGTGTGAGCTGGAGTTTGGCTTAAATGTGTTAGTGTATCTAGTGTGTATCTAAACCTGCTAATACATTTAACACTGCTCTCTACTTCCCACCCCAGGCTGATAATGCTGCTGTCTGCTGTGCCTCCTGTGCTCAATCATGTAGCGTTGTGTCTCACTAATACAGGAGGTGTGTAACTGGCCAGATCACTAGGTGAAAGCAGAGTGGGGGAAAAAAGGGAAGAAAAGAAAACTGATGCCGTCACCACATCTAATGATTAGCACGCTGCAATATATAACATTTTTCGTTTTGGATTTAATACCACGTTAAAAGTTTTCATGGATAATAAAGTCAATGTTGTGCCATATATGTATTACTGTTTATGTGTGATCGCTTTTGGGTAATGTTGCTTTCAAAAGGAAGTATAATTTAGTATATTGAATATTGCTTGGGTTTGAAGTTTATCTACTTTGTAGGAAAAATAATGAACATATTGTAATAATAATGCAAAGTTTTAAAGTTCTCTCTGATTGGCTACTGATTTACTGACTATCCTGCTGTAAACAGCTTTATTAACTGTAATTAACTGTTCGTACTATGTGGTCTACAGAGCTCGGAGCCAAGCTGTTAGAGTGAATGGAGCAAATCATCCATCAAGTTTAATCTGATTGCTGTGCAGCAGACATGTGTAGACACGATGAATGTGGATGAACTGTGTACAACTTCTAGATCACTGGACATTTTCCTGAGCAGTGACCATACAGTACATTACAAAATACTTAATGTGTTTCTAAACCTTAACAGTCTGTCTATGCCATAAATCATGCTTGTTATGCTCACTGTAGAACCTAAGAGGTTAATCCTCCACATTGTGTAAAAAGGCTGTTTGATCCTGTCTTCTCTGGACCTCCCCTTCTTCCACAGTCCCTAATCCACCTGCTGATAGTACATAGTCCTAGGAGGCACTGTGCACATGCTCAGTTTGACGTGTTTTGCTAGAGAGGTTTTTTCTTTTGAGAGGATGCATGTGATCAGCACAGGGCAAATCAGCGCTGTCTGGACAAAGGGTCAGGGATCATGCGACCTCATAAGACAATCAGGGAAGAATGAAAACTCCTCCTGCGAGCTTTAATCAGTGCTTGGCCAGACACTGATAGAAGTCACAGCGCCCTGCGCGATTGCACACATGTGTATACTCACGGAAAGGCCCCCGCTCCGCTCTTTCGAACGGGACCTTTCCCGATGTGACCAACGCGTCATCACGGCGGTCACATGATTCCTAACTGAAATTCATCCACGCCCCCACCGCCCTGCCTCCCGGTGTCAGAATCTCTTAAAGGGCCGGGAGGCGGCGGCGTCAAGGGGTTAATCAGTGCTTGGCCAGACACTGATAGAAGTCACAAGATTGCTATATACTGATGATGAGAAAAGGTATTTAGAAGTTTTTATATACTGAAATAATTGCATTTCCATGTTCTGTATACTGTGGAAGACCTGATATAGTGAATGCAGGATCCTGGGTTTAGTAACACTTTAAAGGTGTTCCATGCATCCCCATGCATGCACACAGAACATGGAAATGCAATTATTTTAGTAAATATAAACTAAGTACCTTTCTCATCAGCAGTATTTAGCAATTTTGTGACTTCTATCAATGTCCAGCTGAGCACTGGTTAAAGCTTGTAGGAAGAGTTTCATTTTCTTCTGACTGTCCTATGAGGCTGTATAACCTCTGACCCTCTGTCTGGACAGTGCTGATTGGCTGATCACATTCACCCTCCCAAAGAAACAAAAAGCCCTCTAGCCATAAACTAAACTAAGCATGTGCAGAGTGACTCCTAGAGCTCTGTACTGTCAGCAGATGGATTGGGGACATTAGAAGAAGGGGAGGATCAGAGAAGACGGGATCAAACAGCCTTTTTACGCTATGTGGAGGAATAACCCCTTAGGTTCCACAGTGAGTATAACCAGCATGATTTACTGCATATACAGACTGATTGTACTGTTGTGGGTTCAGTAACACTTGGTGCACTACAGGTGCGCTATAAAACAGCTGATTGTCAGGAGCTCTGAGTAGCATGATATTTTTTGCAAATGTATGTCGAATAAGTGAAAAAGAAGCATGCCTAGCAAGATTAGGGAGCATGTGTTATGGCTTTTGTTAGCACTAAGCTTATTATATCAGGCATTTGAGTACTACATAATAGAGCTTTGTGACTGAAAAGAACTGGTAGTTCTTCTGTATTGTATAGGAAGCTAAGGGGCCCTAGCAGTTACCTCCTGTGGAAATGGTGCTGGCCAGCTTTGGATGTAAGCTAGTTGAGCAACTCTGAAATTTTGGATTGTGAGGGGAAACTATGGCACTGGAGAAATCCCATACAAATAGTATCCTTGGTGCAGAACCAAGATCTGTACGGTTTAGTATCATTTCATGACTGAACTGTACAGTGGTCCTGTATGGCAGCATTTTCAAGTTGTACTAGCAGTTAGAGGGTTGTTTCACAGGTAGCTGCACACTTAAAAAATTACCTTCAAAGCATGCATTGTTGGTGGGATATGAGAACAGTTTCACATGAGCTTCAGCTTGTGTACGATCTGTGTGAAAAGCAAGCATTCACAAAGCATTTGCAGTACCATTCAACTCAAGTTTATAAATGCTCAGCACAGATCCTAATGGGATTGCTGATTGCCACTTTAAAGCGGAGTTCCACCCCAAAGTGGAAGCTCCACTTGTTTTCCTCCTATTCCCCCCCCCCCCCCCTCCACTGCCATATTTGGCACCTTTTGGGGAGGAGCAGGTACCTGGTTTTGACAGGTTACCGCTCCCCTTCCCTCAGTTTGCCGCGGTGAAGTAAGCCAGAAGTTGAGCCCCCTTCTTCCTCCCGCAGTCTCCTGGGATACTTCACAGGTCCCAGAAAACTGCCGGACCAATGAGGAGGTGCAGTGTGGCTCATGCTTGCACAGTGGGCACCAGGCTGTGAAGCCGCAAGCTGTCACAGCCCGGTGCCTACAATTGAAATGCCTGCGCTGTGGAGAAAAGAAGAAGAGAAAGGACGGCGAAGGTGAGCACATCGCTGGACCCTGGGACAGGTAAGTGTGTGTTTATTGAACAGTTTTTGTAGCTGCTGACTTTTAAAAAGCACAAAAATAGCTGGATCTCCACTTTAAACAACCTGCTAGCGGGCTTCAGCACTTCTTGAAGCTTGTTGAAAGAATACTGAAGCCTGCTAGCAGCTTTCCTGAAGTAGCAATCCACACTTCAATTAGGATCTGTGTTCAACATTTACAAACTGGAGCTGAATGGTACTTTTAAAAGTTTCAACAAACCTTGCTGAAAGCTCTGCCATTGCTTTGTAAAAGCTTGCTGTTCACACTGCTCTTATACAGGCTGAAGCCCATGTGGAACAGGCCTAAAACAATGCTCAGTGGAAACCTCTAGTCACAATCTAGTCCCAAGGGCTTCATAGTATTACTCTTTGGGAAAGGGGGCCAATCAATGGAATTTCTGAAAGCCTAAGTACAGGATTTCTGTCACTCTACTTTGGGCCAACTGAGTGATGTGGCTGCTGTGAGCACTGAAACATACAGTATGCAGCTCTCTGTTCTGGCAGCGTCAGTAACTTCCTGTTGGTTTTTTTTTTGTTTGTTTTTTTTGTATCTGTACCATAGTGTATGTAGCATCAGATGCATGCAGTGTCGTGTTTGGTTTTTAATAAGCAAATACAAGGCTTCCTCTGATTGGTTGAGGTGGAGATTGTGATGTTGTTTACCTACCTCTCCACCTTGGCCAGTCAAAGGAAGCTTTGTATTCATTGGTAAAAATACAAGGCTCTGAATTGCTGAAAAGCACTTTGCCCAACTTGATTTAGTTCCAGTAGCAGACAGGAAGTCTCCCAGAACACAGTGCTGCATACTACATGATGATGATATACATGCACACAGCAGCTGCATCACTTAGTAAGGGAAATGGTTCATTTGGGCAAATGAACTGTTTCAAGTAACAGGAAACAGGGACATAGGCTGTAATGGAGACCTTAAGGCAAACAACCTAAAACGGAACTCCAACCAAAAAACAAGCTAACAATAGCCCAAGAAAAGATACAATAGAAAAGCACCTTTTGTTGTATATGTATTGTCAATCTGAGCTCTCCCCCACAGTACAATATCCTGAAATTGGATATTGAAGGAGCAGCAGCACACTGGTGGTGGCATCTCTGTACTCCCTGTTGTGTAAACATGCTCGCAGTTTTTGGCTGTCAGCAAACTAATAGAGCCCTGATTGGCTATGACTGTTGATTCTTTTTCTCTGAGTATTGCAGTGCAGGGGATTACAGAATTTGTGTTATTTTTTATTATTCTTGTACTTATGCTAGTTGTGTTTAAAATATATTTATATTTTGGATATACATCTAGACTATTTGTTTTTAACTGTGCATCGTGTTTGTTTTTAGCATAAGTGAAGAAAACCTAATTGTGAACTTTGTTCCAACCTTAGCTATTCTTTAGCGTATGGCATAAAAGAAACTCTCGTGAACAATGAGCGGAGAGCCGGATGCACTGGCAGTTGTTAATCAGCTGCGGGACTTAGCTTCAGATCCTTTAAACCGCCGACCCATCGTACAGGATCAAGGATGTCTCCCAGGCCTCATCTTATTCCTTGACCATCCCAATCCTCAAGTGGTTTACTCTGCTCTTTTGGTAAGTGCATTTATAGAATTCATTTCCTTTTGATGACATTTCTGCAAAGTTTATCTCCAATTAAATAGAATCAGAATATTGAATTAATATATTTTTCATATTAATTTCTAACCAGCAATAGGCTGTCCTTTCAGCTGTGGTATCCACTTTCCTATATTACTACTTCTGTAGGGCAACTGTTGACTCTCATGGTAGAGGTAGATGCCTTTGCCATATCCAGTTTCCCACATTCTAAGCATAATTTTGTTTAAGCTGTTGGTCTGCTTTATTTTTGGGGAGCGAATAATAAATATTGGACATATAGCTGACACTGACATCAGTAGTGACACTAATACAGTGATCAGTGCTAATACTGTTCACTGTCACTGTACTAATGACACCGGATGGAAAGGAATTAACATCTAGGGACAATCAAGGGGTTATTTGTATGCTTTTCAGGGAGAAGAAACCGAAAGATCGCTCTTCTGTTTGTCAACACAGAACTGTGTGCTGTGATTGGACAAAGCCAATCCGCAGGTTTCGTGCACATGTGTGCGCCCACAGACCCAGAAGAAACCAGTCACGTGTATATTTATAGTGCCTTGAAAAAGTATTCATTCCCCTTTAAAGTTTTCCACATTTTATCTTGTTACGACCAAAAACTTAAATTTATTTTATTGGGATTTTATGTGATAGACCAACACAAAGTGGCACATAATTGTGAAGTGAAAGGAAAATGATAAATGGTTTTCAAATTTTTTTACAAATCTGTGAAAAGTGTGGCGTGCATTTGTATTCAGCCCCCCGGAGTCAATACTTTGTAGAGCCACCTTTTGCTGCATTTACAGCTGCAAGTCTTTTTGGGGATGTCTCTACCAGCTTTGCACATCCAGAGAGTGAAATGTTTGCCCATTTTTCTTTGCAAAATAGCTCAAGCTCTGTCAGATTGGATGGAGAGCGTCTGTGAACAGCACTTTTCAAGTCTTGTCACAGATTCTCGATTGGATTTAGGTCTGGGTGTTGACTGGGCCATTCTAACACATGAATATGCTTTGATATAAACCATTCCTTTATAGCTGTATGTTTAGGGTCATTGTCCTGCTGGAAGGTGAAATAAGTATTTTGCAGACTCTCAGGTTTTCTTCTAAGATTACCCTGTATTTGGCTCCATCCATCTTCCCATCAACTTTGACCAGCTTCCCTGTCCCTGCTGAAGAAAAGCATCCCTACAACATGATGCTGCCACCACCATGTTTTACAGTGGTGATGGTGTGTTCAGGGTAATGTGCAGTGGTAGCTTTCCGCCACACATAGCATTTTGTTTTTAGGCTAAAAAGTTCAATTTTGGTCTCATTTGCCCGGAGCACCATCTTTTCACATGTTTGCTGTGTCCCCCACGTGGCTTCTCTCAAACTGCAAACGGTTGTTCTTATGGCTTTCTTTCAACAATGTCTTTCTTCTTGCCACTCTTCCATAAAGTCCAGATTTGTGGAGTGGACAACTAGTAATTGTCCTGTGGACAGATTCCCCCACCTGATCTGTGGATCTCTGCAGCTGCTCCATAGTTACCATGGGCCTCTTGGCTGCTTCTCTGATTAATGATCTCCTTACCCAGCCTATCAGTTTAGGTGGACGGCCATGCCTTGGTAAGTTTGCAGTTGTGCCATACTCTTTCCATTTTCGGATGAGGGATTGAACAGTGCTCTGTGAGATGTTCATAGTTTGGGATATTTTTTTATAACCTAACCCTCCTTTAAACTTTTCCACAATTTTATCCCTGACCTGTCTGGTGTGTTCCTTGGCCTTTATGATGCTGTTTGTTCACTAATGTTCTCTAACAAACCTCTGAGGGCTTCACAGAACAACTGTATTTATACTGAGATTAAATTACACACAGGTGGACTTATATTTACTAGGTGACTTCTGAAGGTAATTGGTTCCACTAGATTTTAGTTAGGGATATCAGAGTAAAGGGGGTTGAATACAAATGCATGCCACACTTTTCAGATATTTATTTGTAAAAAAAATGTGAAAACCATTTATTGTTTTCCTTCCACTTCACAATTATGTGCCACTTTGTTGGTCTATCACATAAAATCCCAATAAAATAAATTTACGTTTTTGGTTGTAACATGACAAAATGTGGAACATTTTAAGGGGTATGAATACTTTTTCAAGGCACTGTATGTGACTCAGCCTGCCTGTGCTGCCCCACCACAGTAAATGTTATGTGGTGGGGTGACAAAAGGTGACAGCTCAAGTTCAGCCAAAATGTATTTTGTGTTTTTTTTCTATTTAGGGAATGGGAAGAACGGTAGAACATTTGCCTTGTTTGTATTGCTATGTGTGTTGCTTTTGGGAAGATTTCCCCTCACTTCTTGTCCCATGCAAGAAGTGAAGAGACCTCCCAAATTTAGAAATGGGAAAATGATATCCTGACAGAGGTTTCAACTTTTTTACAATCTAATCAGAACTTGCCAACCAAAAAGGTAATAACCCTCTCATTGTCCAAAGCAGATGAGGTTTGGGTAAGCCAGGTCTTTACGTTACCCATCTCCGCTGTCATTGGAAATCCTCCACAGACTGTTGTCCATGAACCTGAACTACCTGGTTTAAGATACGATCAAGATCTTCCTGGATGCTAATGATGGTATTCTACTATTAAGGGTTAGGTTTCATTAGGTTAGAATCTGTATATTTTTATAGGCCAACAGACCTGCCAAACATGCATTCCTCTTACTGTGAGTGAGGTCTTCCATCATGCTGTATTGATTTACTTCAGAATTTAGGGTTAGGGTTTTTTTAACCACCAATTTAAGTTAGTTTTGTTTTTTTTTTTTTTTTTTTTTTTTTTTTTTTTTTTTATAGTAATCAATGGTGCTGTCCAAGTGATGGAACAAAATTTATCCAGGGGTCCAACTGTAAAGCTAATCCTTTTAATTATTTAATATGCTCAAATATTGTGTTCCAATAGAGTTGGAAAAAATAGGGCAGAAAATTTTATAATATAAAAAAAAAATGCTATAAAGGTGACAGGGAGTGCATGGAATACTTTTATTAGATCCTCATTGTGTGACTGAAGGTGCAAGTTTGTCCACACCCTGTGGGGTAGCAAATATCGTTTATTCTGTTGAATGAATGAATTTCATAGAGGTTCATTCTAGCACTAATGCATGGGCATCGTGAAATTATCTCACTCTAGCATTGCAGGCACATGTAGTAAACAACATGAGACTTTACAGTCATGGCCAAAATATTGGCACTCCTGCATTTCTGTCACCACTTTTTCCAGAAAATTGTTGCAATTACAAATGTTTAGGCGTTCTCATGTTTATTTCTTTTACTTTGATATGACACAAAAAAGTGGAGAAACAAAAAGCCAAATCTGACACATTCCACACAACTCCAAAAATGGAATGGACAAAATTATTTGTACCCTCAATTTAATATTTGGTAGCACATCCCTTGGAAACAATAGCTGAAATCAGTTGCTTCCTGTAACCATCAATGAGTGTCTTACACCTCTCGAGTGGACTTTGTGACCAATCTTTTTTGGTCAACTGCTCCAGGTCTCTGATTGGAAGGATTCCTTTTCCCAACTACTGTTTTGAGATCTCTCTATAGGTGCTCTATGGGATTGAGATCTGGACTCTTTGCTGGCCAGTTCAGTACTCTCCAGCGCTTTTCCTGAAACCATTTCTGGGTGCTTTTTCACGTGTGCTTTGGGTCATTGTCCTGCTGTAAGACTCATGACCTCTGACAGAGACCCAACTTTCTGACACTGGGCCCTACATTGCACCCTGGAATTCTTTGGTAGTCTTCAGATTTCATAATGCCATGCACACGATCAAGGCATCCAGTGCCTGAAGCAGCAAAGCAACCCCAAAACATCAGTGAACCTCCACCATGTTTGGTTGTAGGGACTGTATTCTTCTCTTTAAAGGCCTCATTTATTTTTCTGAAAACAGTAGAATGATGGGCTTTGCCAGAAAGCTGTAATTTTGTTTTGTCTGTCGACAACACATTCTCCCCAAAGGATTTTGGCTTTCTCGGGTAAGTTTTGGCAAACTCCAATCTGGCTTTTTTATGTTTGTTTCTGTCAGCAGTGGGGTCCTCCTGGGTCTCCTACCATAGCATCCCTTTCCATTCAGATGGCAATGTATAGTGCTAGCTGACACAGTTGTGACCTGTTCCTGAAGGTCAACTTGAATTTGTCTAGAAGTTGATTGAGGTTCTTTATCCACCGTTCAAACAATCATAGTTGCAATCTCTGATAATTTTTGCTGACACTCCTGCTGACACTCCGGTAATCGCCGAGGAACACTGACAGTGGAGAGGTCTGTAGGTAAACAATACAGATGTCTCCCCTGTCAGCATAGCAGAGCAATACAAAGCAGCATACTTACATAGACAACCGGACATAATTTGAAATGCACACAGTTAACCCTTTTGATCGCTCCAGATGTTAACCCCTTCCTGCCCAGTGTCATTAGTACAGTGTCGGTGCTTTTTATTAGCACTGATCACTGTATTAGTGTCACTGGAGATGTCAGTGGCAGTTCGTTAACTCCCAGTGTCAGAATACCCGCCGCAGTCCCGCTATAAGTCACTGATCGCCGCCATTAATAGTATAAAAAAAAATATTTTTTAAACATTCAAGGCATGTATACTGCCATTTGTAGATGCCATAACTTTCACGTAAACCAATTAATTTACATGTATTGGGATTTTTTTTGTTTCTTAAGCAAAGACGTAGCAGAGTACATTTTGGCCGAAAATTTTTATTTTTTAATTTTTTTTTACTAGATATGTTTTATGGTAAAAAGTAAAAAAATGTTTTTTTTTGTTTTTTTTTTCTAAATTATCGGTCTTTTTTTGTTTATAGCGCAAAAATACCGCAGAGACAATCAAATACCACCAAAAGAGAGCTCCATTTGTGGGGAAAAAAAAGGCATAAATTTCATTTGGGTGCGGCGTTGCATGAACTCGCAGTTGTCTGTTAAAGTAATGCAGCGCCGTAT